CTCTCTCTCTCTCTCTCTCTCTCTCTCTCTCTCTCTCTCTCTCTCTCTCTCTCTCTCTCTCGCTCTCTCTCTCGTCTCTTGTCTCTCGCTCTCTCTCTCGCTCTCTCTCTCTCTCTCTCTCTCTCGTTCAACATCTTGTGTTTCTTTCTATAGGAGAGGGAGCCCTCTGTTGGTTGGAATCAAAAGCAAAACCAAGCTGACGTCCGACCACATCCCTGTCATGTACAGTAAGGGTAAGTGTATGCATGGGCATACGATAACACGGGAAAACCGTGCTTTTCTGGCGCATTACACGGATATCCTATCACGTTAAAGCATGCAAAAATACATGTAATTTATACTTACTATTCAGAGTAATGTAAATCTTATAAAACACGTGTGTTATTGGTTGTTGCTAAATACAAGAACTAGTAGATAATTTTATCGCAAATTTTCAAAACGAGCCACGAATTAAAACCATTATAGCCACAAAATGTTCACTCGTCTATTGTCTACGCAATATCTACGCGATACTTGTCACGATCTGTTCGTATTACAACCTTTTACTGTGATGACGACTAACCACTAACTGCATTTCTCTTTGCTACGCAATCCGTAGCTTCTGAAGTCAGAGGTACACACTTCCTAACTAATCGTACGATGCATGAGTGTTGTCTTTGTCGTCGGCACTTGCTGCGGCACGCGCGTGCACGTCAACGGGCGTAGTGTCGTCGTCGTTGTCGTGTGTGACTAACTGTTCGTTCTCTCTTCGTTGTTGCATGCACGTGTGTGTGGATTGTTATCGTGCCTCTCCTAGATACGTCGCATCGCAGAGGTTGCGCGTCGAACTGCGACAAAGCAGGTACCGTTTGCCATGCATTCCGGCCCCTCTCCCCAGCTTGCCTGTATTCTCTCTATGCTCAAGTTACTCTACCCCAGCCGATCCTCAGTTCCCCAGCATGCCACACACGTAGAGTATGGTCTTCGGTGTTCCTGAATTGTTAGACGCTCGTTTGATAGATGTGTGATTTTATTGTATTGGGTTGATTGAGTTTTATTTTTCATTAAACGCACGTTAGCGATAGACTAATGGCCAGTTTCTCGTTGGTAGCTCTGAGAGACTTTCTTACTCGAAGGTAAACCTGAAGAAAGACTAAATCCGACACGCGGTTATGGTGGTGGTGGTGGTCGGTCGAAACTCCGCCACTGCATGCTTTTCGTAAAGCCAAGAGCCGATAATACATTGTATTATTATCTCTTGGTAAAGTGTGTTTTTCACGTCATTTTCTGCATTTCCACGTAACCGGTTGTTTCACTCGTTCGCTTTAAGGGACGATAGTAGAGGCTTAGCCGCAATAAAGTGGCCCATCCGTGAGCGATAGCCAGGCCAATCGAAGTGGAAATAGGGCATTCTAAAACCAATGATTTGCAATGAAGCGCTGGAGAGTCGACATTTTGGGGTGCACACCAAAAATGTCACTTTGCAGGCTGTTCTAGCTTGACCGTTATCGCAACGATATCCAAAAGGGTCTGAAAAATATACAGAGCATGGTCGTCTCGCCCAGATGGGCGGGTCAGTTATCGCTGTGAGTCGTCATATCTCATCTGAGTCTTGAGACGACGTGTTTCTGAGACATGTGCTGCCTCTGAGACACACCACCATCTCTGAGACACACTGCCTCGGTAGACGAGTCTCATCAATGCCGGCGTCCGTTTATTCTTCTTCCTCTCTCTCGCGCGCGTTAGACCATCGTCGCGACACGCCGGAGATTCTTCCTGAGCAGCTACAGCGCACCGCCTCCCTCACGCAGATCACCAAGATGGGCGACCAGGACGAGGTCGAGTACTTCTTCGCCTCCGACGCCAGGTGCGTGGAAGGGTCGCAGGGAGGAGGCGACAGTCTATGTCGTTCTGTTCGTTTGTGACGCGAACCCTCCTCTCTCTCTCCCTCCCTACCGTCTCTCCCTCCCTGCATCTCTCCCTCCCTACCTCTCTCCCTCCCTGCGTCTCTCCCTCCCTACCTATCTCCCTCCCTGCGTCTCTCCCTCCCTACTCTCTCCCTCCCTACCTCTCTCCCTCCCTGCATCTCTCCCTCCCTACCTCTCTCCCTCCCTGCGTCTCTCCCTCCCTACCTCTCTCCCTCCCTACCTCTCTCCCTCCCTGCATCTCTCCCTCCCTACCTCTCTCCCTCCCTACCTCTCTCCCTCCCTACCTCTCTCCCTCCCTGCATCTCTCCCTCCCTACCTCTCTCCCTCCCTACCTCTCTCCCTCCCTACCTCTCTCCCTCTCTACCTCTCTCCCTCCCTGCGTCTCTCCCTCCCTACCTCTCTCTCTCCCTCCCTCTCTCTTCCTCCCTACCTCTCTCCCTCCCTACCTCTCTCCCTCCCTGCTTTCCTCCTTTCCTACCTCACCTTACTCTTTCTCTCCATTCCTCCCGCGCTACTTTAGGTTTCTATCTATTCTATGCGTTCACAAAATAATTTTTCCGGAAAACGGAAACGCGATGACACAACATGACCTCAGGAGTGAATCGACAATTGTTTCTTTTTTTTTTCAATTGAATTCGTTTTCGTTTTCGTTTACGTTTGTTTTTTATTCGCTCCTGGTAACGTTTTAACACGATATAATGATATAATACGTGTGTGCGTCGTTTTTTGTAGTGCGGTGATTGAGCACACCAACCAGGTTATCTACCTTGAGGACGATGACGTTGCCGCCATCAAGGACGGAAGTAAGTGCCAGCGCCGCCGTCTGCCGGCGGGGCTCGACGGGGATTTTCGGACGTACGGTTCGAAGGAGATTTCGGTCATGGGGTTTGTCAGATTATTTTTGGGCATGCAATTTCTCTCAAACAAGTGCCAAGAGAAAATTGGTCATACTACAATATATATATTTTCATCGCCACGCGCTTAATACGTTAGATATGCGCCTCTATCAGAACGGTAGCATTCCGCCTGTAACTAACACTACGCGGTTGTGGCGCGTGTTGCCGTGACTCTAATGGTTTCCGTTTGGGCATGGGGTTCGTCAGAATACTGATATCACCATGGCAGAGATGCCAACCACTACGATTTATCTGTATTTTATACGAATTTCTATTCCTTTTGCACCACTACGACCAGTTTGTATCAAACTACGAATTTCACTGTGATCAAAAAAAAAATATTTTGTCAATTTATTGTCATTTTTGACCCTCAGAATGCAGGAAATTGCATCTAAGAATCAAAATTTTTTCCGGGGGGCATGCCGGACCCCCCTAGCAAACTCTGGTCACTACGTGACCCACGAACTACTAATTGCTTCAAATATGTGTTGGCATCTCTGCCATTGAATCAATACGTTAGATGCGTGCGTTGCTCAGTGGTAGCTTTACACCTATAACACTACGTGTTGCCCTGACTCTAATGGTTTCTGTTTGGCGGTCGTCGCCGCGTGGCGTTTGCTCGTTGTAGATTTGACCATCCATCGGCTGAAGAGGCACGTGGACGAGTCGACGTCCAGGGAGATCATCACGCTCATGATGGAGATACAGGAGATCATGAAAGGTTCGGCTCTGTGTTTTCTTTACTCTCTCTCAGATCATCTGGACTCAGACAACGTCTGCTCTGTCTGCTCTCTCCTCCTCTTATCGCTCTCTCTTCTCTCTCTAATCTCTGTCCTCTCTTTCTCTCTCTTATCTCTGTCTCTCCCCTCCTCTCTCTCTCTCTCTCTCTCTCTCTCTTGCTCCTCTCTCTCTCTCTGTCTCTCACTCCTCTCTCTCTCTCTCTCTTCGTCTCTCTTGCTCTCTCTCTCTCTCTCTGCTCATCTTTCATCTCTCTATCTACTGCTCTCCCTTCTCTCTCTGCTCTCTCTCTCTCCTCTCTCTTGCTCTCTTCTCTCTCTCTTGCTCTCTCTCTCTCTCTCCTCTTGCCTCTCCTCTCTCTCTCTCTCCTTGCCTCTCTCCTCTCTCGTCTCTCTCTCTCTCTCCTCTCTCTCTCATCTCTCCTCTCTATCCTCTCTCGGCTCTCTCTCCTCCTCGCTCTCTCTCTCTCCTCTCTCTCTCTCTCTCTCTCTCTCTCCTCTCTCTCTCATCTCTCTCTCTCTCAGCTCTCTCTCTCTTCGTCTCTCCTCCTCCTCTCTCTCTTCTCTCTCTCTCTATCTCTCTCTCTCTCTCTCTCTCTCTCTCTCTCATCTCTCTCTCCTCTCTCTCTCTCCCTCTCTCTCTCTCTCTCTTCTCTCTCTCTCTCTCTCTCTCTCTCTCTCTCGCTCTCTCTCTCTCTCTCCTCTCTCTCTCTCTCTCTCTCTCTCTACATCTCTCTCTCTCTCTCTCTCTCTCTCTCTCTCTCTCTCTCTCTCTCGTCTCTCTCTCTCTCTCTCTCTCTCTCTCTCTCGTCTCTCTCTCTCTCTCTCTCTCTCCTCTCTCTCTCTCTCTCTCTCTCTCTCTCCTCTCTCTCTCTCTCTCCTCTCCTGTCTCTCTCTCTGTCTACTCCTGTCTCTCTGTTCTCTTCTCTCTGTCGCTCTCTTTCTCTATCTCATGATCTATAGTTTCACTGATCGCATGTAACTCTGTGGCTCCTCCTCCTTACAGGCAACTACAGCTCTATATATGATAGATACGTGACAGATACATGGCAAGTTGTGCACAATGACGGTAGAATACGTGACAGACATACATCAGCAAGGTGGCAACGTGACGTGAGCTACGTTCGACAGATACCATGGCAATGGCAACACGTGACGGCTAGATACGTGGACGATACATGGCAACGTTGCAACACGGACGGTAGATACGTGACAAGTACATGGCAAGTTGGCCAACACGTGACCGGTTAGATATGCTGAAGATACATGCGAGAAGTTGGGCAAACACGTGACGGTAGATACGTGACAGATACATGGCAAGTTGGCAACACGTGACGGTAGATACGTGACAGATACATGGCAAGTTGGCAACACGTGACGGTAGATACGTGACAATACTTGAATACATCATGATAGATACATGGACTCATGACTGATATAACAAATTATCTGTAACTCTGCGGCTCCTTCCTTCCCCTACAGGCAACTAAAGCTCTGTACATGATTATTTGTAACTCTATGGCTCCTTCCTCCCCTACAGGCAACTAAAGCTCCATACATGACAGATACATAGTTTCACGGATCGCATGTAACTCTGTGGCTCCTCCCCTTCCTTCCCAGGCAACTACAGCTCGTTCATGCAGAAGGAGATCTTCGAGCAACCCGAGTCGGTCGTGAACACCATGCGGGGGCGACTTCTGGCGGACGAGGGTAACGTCATTCTCGGCGGCATCAAGGACTACATTCCCGAGATCAAGCGCTGCCGACGTCTGCTGTTCATCGCCTGCGGCACGAGCTACCACAGCGCCATCGCGGTAACCGCGTAAATCACGGTTGCGAGTAAAATTAATAAAACCAATTCAACTAACTGGGATTTAATTTAAAGAAACTAAAAAGCTGATTAAAAAAATTAATGAAATCAATTAAACTAACTGAAATTTAATTTACAGAGACTGTATGTTTAATAAAGACAGATGAATTAATTGAAATGTAGAAGAAAAACAAAGGAACATAATAGTTAGCATTTTACAGAAGTTGAGTTTTTCTGCCACGAGATGGTGCCACTGTAACGTTGCAGACGAGGCAGCTGCTGGAGGAGATGACTGAGCTTCCCGTCATGGTGGAGCTGGCGTCGGACTTCCTCGACCGCAGCACGCCGATATTCCGCGACGACGTCTGCTTCTTCATCTCACAGTCAGGTCAGTAACCCCGGGGGAGGGGGTCAGTAACCCCGGGGGAGGGGGTCAGTAACTCCGGGGGAGGGCGGTCTCGCATTTCCGCTGACCTGTGGGGTCAGTAATGCAACGTCTGTGTCGCTCAACTTATGTAATCCATGAAAGAATATTCACTTATTGACAGAATACAGCGCACACACTTGGCGAACGCTTTTCATTCGATCGTTGTCGCTTTTCGTTCGATCATCCTTGCTTTCGTTCAATCATTCTCTTTTCGTCCGACCAACTCCATTTTCTCATCCAATCATTCTTGCGATTGTTCCATCATTCTCGTTTTTTTTGTCCAATCAGGCGAGACTGCCGACACGCTGATGGCGCTGAGCTACTGTAAGCGCCAGGGGGCGCTTATCGTTGGCATCACGAACACGGTCGGGTCGAGCATCTCGCGCGACTCGCACTGCGGCATCCACGTCAACGCCGGACCCGAGATCGGTGTCGCTAGCACCAAGGGCAGCAGCAGCAGCAGCAGGGGCGGCAGCAGCGTATGCTGACCCATGCACCCATCATCCCTCCACCCTCCGGAGAACCTGAGTATAGGGGTTAGTTGAGGGTAATGGCGATTATCATGTGTTGACGTGTGGGTGCGTGCGTGTATGTGGTGCGTGCGTGCGTGCGTGCATGGATATGCGCACGTACCTGTATTGGCATTACATGTGGCGTACGCTGCTGCTGCTGCTGCTGCTGGGAGGGTGGAGGGATGATGGGTGCATGGGTGAGAACCTGAGTATAGGGGTTAGTTGAGGGTAATGGCGATTATCATGTGTTGACGTGTGGGTGCGTGCGTGTATGTGGTGCGTGCGTGCGTGCGTGCGTGCGTGCATATGCGCACGTACCTGTATTGGCATTACATGTGGCGTACGCTGCTGCCGCCCCTGCTGCTGCTGGAAGGATGGAGGGATGATGGGTGCATGGGT